GGTGAGGGTTCCGAATGAACAAACCTTTTAACAAAAAGAAAAACTTGTTTAATTTAGCACTTTCTTCTAATAAAAAGTATAATAAATTTTGGTTATACTTCCTTTTTGTACATTTTTTTGGGTTTCACGACTTACCGGACTCGACCTTAATTCCGGAATCGACCGGAATCGATGTTGAATTACTGAAAATGTGTGTAAAAAGACAAATCGCTTTAAGTATTTTAGTTCAATCATTTTCAAGTATGACATGAATCCTAGGAAACGTTTTGTTTGTTTGTTCCTGTTTCCTTTATAACGGTATTTTTTTAATTTATATATTTAAGAATATTCTACATCTTTATTAGGAAGAATTCAAAATCAAATTCTATATATAAAAAAAAAAAAAAAAAAAAAAAAAAAAAAAAACAACAACAACAACAACAAAAATCAGAAGAAAAAAAAAACAGAAAAGAAAGGCAATTTTACGTTCGAAAACATAGTTTTATAACAAAAAAAAGCTTGAAACTTTACAAGTTCCTTAATGTCCGAAATGAGGGGGTTCACAGAAAGTACAATCCTTAAATAATATCCCAACATTGGTCAAGATATTTTTATACATCTGATTAATGTCAGAATTTTTGAATTGCTTCATCATTATGAGGTAACTATCTTTGGTACTTACAAAACAGTTGTAAATGTGCAGACAGACATGTTTGCTGAGTTCTTATTAAAATCATAAAACTTATAGTATTATTATATATATATAACATGCAATTTTATTTTGAAATTAATTTTAAACTACATACTATACCACCTGTACAGCAGGATTAATTTTCACATCTGCCTTTTGATCAATACTTCAGTATTTCAGTCTCTACCTTTAATGTATTTCACAAACGTTCACCAAATATCCAAAACAATTGATATTCTGCAAGCAGTTTTTAGACGAAAGTCCTTCAATCGTCATTTATTTGTTCTGAATTTTCTGCGACTCATTTTTTTAATAATATCAAAATGTAAAAACATTTTACACATAATTAAATAAAAGTTAGTAAATTCCTCTTTGTTTGTGTGTTCATGTATATTAAAATCTAATTTTCTTTTCGTTCGAATATATAACATGCATAATTGTTAATGCGATGTTAGGTGATGAGTGCATAATTTTTTTATGAAATATATATTAATTTAAAGATGACTGTTCAGAGTAATCTTTCTGGGTCTTTTTTCAAAAAGCAATCGGCGTATTCGACAGATTAAATTTTGAAAAATTGTTCGTTTTTAGAGAAATAAAACATTTTGCATTTAATAACTCTGTTTCATTTCGTTATTTAGCAACATCATCATCTTGATTTCGATGTTAATACTCAAACATTGCTTTAATACAATGTATAGACTTAAAAAGTTCAATAAATGCAATAATCGTTTACAGTATTTTCAGTTTCGTCCTTCTATCACTATATCATATTTACAAACGTTCAACAGAATATTCCACCAAAGCAGTGTTTATAGAAATTCCTTCAATCGTCATTTATGTGTGACTCCTTTCTTAATGATATCACAATTTTTCAAACATGTAACAATAGCAAATTAATTCGTATATGAACTGCTCTGTTTGGTGTTTGATCATGATATTATAAAAGGAATCGAACATATAACATGTATAATGTTAATGCGATATCTAGAGCGATGGTGATTAATGTTAATGAAATAAATATATATATTTGAAAGTTGACAATACAGAGGTTCTGTTGGCTCTTTCCTTAAAAAAGCAATCGTATGCTGAATTTAACAAAAAAAAAAACAAAACAAAAAACACAAAAAAAAAAACCAAACAAACAAACAAAAAAAATAAATATTTATTTTTAGAGAAATAAAACATTTTGCACTTAATATATTATTTTCTCATTTCCTTTTTTAGCAACATTCAGACATCTTGAATTTCGATTTTCTTTATTCAGGTTAAGCAAAATAATTGAACATATAATGAAACTTCAATGAAATGCAATGGTTAAGTCTTTTAGGTCAATCATTTCAAGCATGAAATGACTCTCAGGAAACGCTTTTTGTTTCCTTTATAACGGTTAAAATCATTTCATATATTAAAGAATATGTGTACATCTTTAAATGTAGTACTAGGGGGAATTCCAAACATCAGCTCTAATTAATGCAGAAAAGAAAGTCATTTTTAAATATAATGTAAAACATTTTTGTTTGTTTCATTTTACGCCTTTTCCCAACAGTATTTCAGTCATATAGGCGGGTAGTTTCCTAACCATCGTTCCTGGAGAGTTACACCAGCACTAGACTACCTTCCTCCGCGCTAAACTACCAAAGCATCTCCCGATGATCGAACCGATGATCGAACCCACGCCAGAGAGGTAACTGGATTAGAAGTCATCGACTCTAACGTCTCGACTTCGGAGTAAATTGAGTTAGTAAATGTCGTGCTCTGTTTGTGTTGATAATGATATAAAGGATCTAATCTTTTCATTCGAACATATTACATACATAATTGTTAATGCGATATTAGGGCGATGGTGCATAATTGATCACGAAATATATATAAATTTAAAGATGACCGTACAGAGTGTTCTTGCTTGCTCTTTTCCTTCAAAATAGCAATCGTAAATGATGCGACAAAAAACATGTTCATTTGTAGAAAAATAAAACATTTTGCATTTAATATACGAAACAGTATATTATATTTCGTTATTTCTTTTTTAGCAACATTCAGTCATCTTGAAATTCGTTGTAAATTACTTAGGTTAAGCAGCATAATTGAACATAAAGAGAAAGTTCAATCATTTCAAGTATGGCATGACTCTCGGGAAACGCTTTTTTGGTTTGTTTCCTTTAAGGTAGACCATGGGTAATGCATTACCTCCGCTTTGAAGAGTATTCAAATAGGCTAGAATCGCTTGAAAACTACATTGGAATTGAGGGGCGTGGGTTCAAACCCCAGAAGGGGCAATTTTATTTTCTTTCATTTTTTCTTTTTAACATTATTTATGTATCTCTCTGATCCCTTATGGAAGAAAAAAAGTTTGATTTAAATTATATAATTATTTTAGGTATTTTTTTTTTGCTAAATAATGCCAATATTTATAGCAAATATGATACCAGATATTTTCAAAGTTCGATAAAATAAAAACTACACGGTAAAAGTATTTTATATTTCGCATGATCAACTAATATACCTTTGAGAAAATTTAGGCAAACTTTGAAAACAGACCCTCATTTCGATAAATTTTAGGGATATTTTGAATAAGGCATTTTAGATAGGGAAATGGTAAAATTAGTGTTAAAAGTGGGTGGGGTAGGGTAACATTTTTATATGTATTAAGAACATTTTGTTTAGAAACAAACATTTTGCTTGTGTAATGTGTTACCTGAATATTATTTTTTGTTTCTTAACATTGAGCAATAGAAAAACGTTTTTTATAATGATGATATTACAAACTATTTACAGTTTCCTAATTTCTGAAAATAAGCCCTTCTAATGGCAAAGTCTTAGTTCAGAAATATATCCATAACTCATAAACCACACGGTAAATTTTATTTAAATTTTGCATACAGGTGACCTTGAAGACATATAACTGTCCTAAGTTGTCAATTTTACAGTTCCTTATGGTGCCAATTACCCATGGTCTACCTTAATTACAGTGAAAATTGTTTCATATACTGTAAATCACTTTATATTTGCGTGATCTTTATTTCGCGAAAACCTCATCCCCGGATTATTTCGCGTATTCATGAATTCGCGATGGCAGGGTCAGAAATTTATGTTCGCAATTATTTGAATTTTATTTCTGCAATATAACAGGGTAGTAAAGAATATGTTTGCATCTTTAAATGTAGTAGTAAGGGGAAATTCAAACATCAATTGTAATTAATGCAGAAAAGCTAGGCATTTTTACGTGAGAAAACATATACTATTATAACAAAATGTAAGCTTGAAAGTGTACAAGTCTTTAATTGCAGCTATAAGTTGGTTTCTCGGGGGTTACAATCCTTTATTATAGTTCAACATTTGTCAAGATATTTTTATAAATGTGATTAATGTGATTAATGTCAGATCATTTTTAATCACTTCATAATATTGGTACATACAAAACAGTTGTTAAGGTGCTTGTAGACATGTTTCCTAAGTTCTTAAGAAAATTCTTCACTTTTAAAAGTATATTTTACCTATTGTGCCTATTGATAAATACGTGACAGTATTTCAGTTTCTTCTATTCTATCACTTAATGTATTTCACAAGCGTTCACCAAATATCCAAGACAATTGATATTCTGAAAGCAGTATTTAGACGAAAGTCATTCAATTGTAGTTGACGTGTTTTGATTCTTCTGTGACTTATTTGTATTTATGATATGTTAAACATGTTACGTTAGTAAATGCCGTGCTTTGTGTTTGTCATGATATAAAAGATCTCATCGTTTCGTTCGGAGAGGGAGATTAACCAGTTTAGCTTAAAAAGTGAAATACTTATTTGTTGAGACACCAATGCGAGAACTGGTGTATTTTGTGAGGCATTAAATGGCAATTGTGATCATTTACCAATTCTCTCTGATAAATATCAAAACACTATTCATGTGAAAAAATAGTAGAGACTCTGTCTGTAATACACATTGGGGAGAGTTAATTGAATGTGTCCATTATTTCCATAACATGTTTTCTTGAATTTCTTAGAATTATGGGCATGTTATATCAGTATTTGACGTTCTAAATAGTTCTTAAAATAATTATCTTTTGTTGTTCACGTTGAATTATAAGAATCAAAGCTAAGGCATCTATATAATTATGTTATTCATACATGCTTGTTATATAATATGATTGTAATGCCTGAAAAGGTCCATATTTGGAAAATAAACTTATTCTGTTCCATTGTCAGCGTCATATGACGTCAATAGCGATGACCTCTAAACGTAAACCATGCTGAAAAAGCTTGAAATGATGAAAAATTGTTGTTTTGCATAAAATTTAATTTAATTTCATTCCACTTGTAAACACCAACTGTAACACCACTCATGTAAATACTAATTTTTTTGTTTACTCTGTGAAATATATTATATAATTAACGCTTTCTGGATATTCATAAACATGTATAATTTTGTTGTCTGGCTGTTTTAATCATAAAAAGTGCTTTAAAAATGAACATAAAATAAATAAGTATTGCATATTCTAAATATATATAAATTATTATCACCATTATTATCACCATTATACACTACATTCTTTGTAAGCTACAGTTTTATATACACCGTACATTTCAGGTCAGAGATGCCTTTCATATATCTCCTCGATACAAAACAAGACTTTGTCTAAAATTCAATAAATGGTTGGTCTTCGTTTCTCAACAAACATGTACATTCCATTTTGTGTTCTCATGACAGTCGATATTTTACGTTTTACTGTATGTGATGTGTCAAGACGAAATGTAAAACTGAAATGTAAAATTTCAAAACATTTCAACATCATCATTTTAAATTAAACATATTTTTTAAAAAATAGACCCAGTAGTCTTAACAACAGCAGAAATGTGTCGTGATCGCCGCGAACTTTACAGTGTTGTTATATTTTTTCCTGTCTATCAGGATCATATCAACGAACATTTTCATTGTTGAGAATTGGGTACCGCTTCAAATATGGATAAAAACAACAACAACAACAATAACAAAAGATCAACAAGGAAGGGCGACGTTCAATGAACAGAACCAAGTCATTCAATAGGTGTGAGAGATGTTGCACTCAAAACATTGCAAGGTTCAACTATTATTGTTCTTGAATGTTCTCTTCTTTCAAGAATATTTAGTATAAATATAAAAATGAAAAAATTCTCTAGCAAGTACTTGTACGTTTACTTTTACCCACGTATATTGAAGCAAATATTTGATACTGTTTCCTATTTAAACGATATATTAATAAAATTTACTTACTTTCTAAGAAGCTTTGTAAGGACTACTTTTTCTTCATTCATGGCAAATATTTGTCCGATACAGTTTCTAAAAAAGACAGTCAAAAGGCAATGCTTTGTTCAAAAAAGTAAATAGAACAAACTATTTTCTTCTTCCTTACTAAGTATAGTCACAAGAACAAAATAAAGTTCATATTCCGATTTTGCAAGCTTTTTTTCCCTTTTTTGACTGCAGACATCAATATTTCAGACACGAGTGGGTGCCCGAGTAAAAACCACCGGATGTTCAATATCAGCTGGAAAGCTTCCTCATTTTAAAGAATCCAAAAGTACCCAGTAAAAAAATATCATACAGGGATTCAAGTTCAGCTAACTTAAACGACCGCCCACAGAGACCCCAAATCCTTGATCTTGAATAAAAAATATAATATCATAAAGTAAATATGAGAATACATTTTACAGTTATGTTAGTGCATAAGAATTCGGAACTTAAAAAATCTCATCATTTTTTTTAATTTTAGAGCAAGAACAAATTACGCTTGTATTCAAAAGTCCATCGAAAACATTTTAAATATTTTCATCAGGTGCTTATTACTTCAAAAAAAGAGTGTTTTTTTAGCAAATATGACAAAAATACAAAAATGTTCCTATGACGTTGGCAATATAACAGTTTTACTTTCGTCATCGTAGATATAAGTTATACCTTAAACATCCACACATGTTTATATGTAAATAAATTTCAATATATTCTTTAGGCATTCCGTTTTTTCCCCTTCTATTTACATCTATAAAACCCACCTTGGTCCTGCAGAGAATGGCACATACTGGAAATGTTCAATTTGGTCAATTCTTTCCTTCGAAAATCGTTCTGGTTTAAACTTCATGTGATCAGGGCCCCAAATATTTTCCATGTGGTTTAATACCCAAATATTAACAATGACTTGTGTTCCTTTAGGAGCAACTCTGTCGTCTAGATCAAAGTCTTGAGTGGTGTCTCGTGTTATACCCGGGACCGGAGCATGTAGGCGCATTCCTTCTTTTATACACATAGTAAGATATTCTAAGTGACTCAAGTCAGACCTATAATTATATAATGATATTTTTTACTATTTAAAAATCCATCTTAAGAGTTATTGGACTTTGAATGATATTTATGCCCTCAAATAACTGTTTGGATCCATTTCCTTAAGTAGTTTTGGAGATACCAACGCAATAAAATGTGCCGCGTCACGACAAAACCAACATAATGGTTTTGCGACCAGCATGGGTCCAGACCAGCCTGCGCATCCGCGCGGTCTGATCAGGATCCATGCTGTTCGCTTACCAACTCTATTACAAGTAGAGAAACTGATAGCGAACAGCATGGATCCTGATCAGACTGTAACACGTGTCCCTCATTAATGCCATAATTTTGAACAGGTTCTTTAGAAAATATATGCTTTTAAGAAATATTCTTCTACATTCCATGAAAAACATTCATCGATAATTTTAAGGGAAACTTTTTTAAAAGAAACATTCCATCCAGCACGATGTAAGAAGTCACAAATTTAAAATAATGTCACGATAAAGGGAACAATTTTTATACCACTCCAGCTCATCTGTTTCCCTGCCTGCAAGTATCTCATCTATCTCAGTCTGACATTTTTGTTGACATTCAGGGTGCTCTGCCAAAGAATACAAGATCCATGATATTGCACTGGCTGTTGTGTCGTGACCTAAAAAACAATTTGTCATACGTTATCATAATTTATATAAATGTTTATGTAACGGAAACATATAAGAATAATGTATGGACCACAATATCAAGTAATTTGTGGTTTACAATATTATGTGGCTATTAGCAGCAAAAGTGTAAAAGTCAATTAAATAAAGCCAGTCCTTGATAACTTATAATCATTTTATACATATCTTGATTCAAATTTAATACCAGAAAAATATGATGCTTTTATTTTGTAACATAAAAAACAATCATCTTTTCCTTATAAACGTCACCTTCGAACAAGAAAGTATCCACTTCATTCCGTATCTCTAGTTTTGTAAGACCCTGTCCGTCTTCATCACGTGCTGTCAGAAGAATATCAAGAAAGTCGGTGTAACTGCTACTCTTGGTACTGTCTTGTTTATTCTGATATTAGACAAAAACTTTAAAAAAATTGTTGCAGTATGTGTGCCACACGGATGCATGTGCAGTCCCTTTATAGCTTTATTTTAAGGAGAGATTTTAAACTTTTTAGTGTTCTCAAAAGTGTGGCTTGGGGGTGTTGCACGTATTCATTATCCATCATGTACAGACTCAATCAATCTGGGTCTGTAATTCTCTTGTAATTTTGGTGCGATTAATGCTTCCGAGGGATCACTTTAATTGTTTCGAGATTTTTTTATATTATTTTTTTCTTATTAATTAAATTATATTTTTGAAATTTAAAAGCTACATTTATCTTTAGTTAAACAGGAGTTACCAGTCATTTAATTAAAATTACCAAAGCATCTCTCCTTTTGTCAATTACTTCCTCGGCTACTGCATGAACAAAATCACAATCTTTTTTAAACTGTCGTCCGGTTGAACTCAGGTTCCAAATGACATCAAAGTGCATCAATGGATTGCTAGGAATTTGTAAAATCAATAAAAATATTGTATAAACAAAGACTTTAAAAAGCTTAATTTTACGAATAATGCCATTTTGAAAAGCGTCCTGCAAAGATATTTGTCATGCTATTTGATATGTTGTAAGCCTTTTAGGCACGGGTCATATTGCAATTAACCAAATATAGACAGTTATGAAATCTTTATTACTAATTTTCTAACAAATAAAAATAATTAAAAACATATATGCTGAGGAGCCATATAATTATATAAATAATATCAACTTTTTGCTTATCTAATAGAATTTCACGTTAGAAACGTTGTTATAAATTTCACTACATTTTCACAAAAACTCAAATTTAGAACACCGATATTTACTAGGAAATATGTATAAGGAGTGCAGGCAATACTGAATATTGCAAAAATAACATAATTTGTCAAAACGACAAACAGACACAAGAAAAAAAATAACAAGAAAGTATAACTCACAGGAACCTGTATGTAAGAGCGTCGGTTATTCTACTCACTGTATTCGCATATTCGTTAGAATCACTGAAATTTAAATTTTCAACAGTTACTCGAGATTCAGCATGTAATATAAATTTAATTTTTAAAGGAAAAATATCATGACTTTTGACCGTAAAGACAGCATGTCTTCCGTGATTAATTGGTCTATAATTTAAATCGTCCTCCTGGCATTGTTAACAGTTAAGTTTGTTTTTACAAAGGCCTTTGCTCTTTTTGTATGTTTAAGGTAGACCATGGGTAATGGGCACCATAAGGAACTGTAAAATTGACAACATAGGACAGTTATATGTCTTCAAGGTCACCTTTATGCAAAATTTGACTAAAATTTCCCGTGTGGTTTATGAGTTATGGATATATTTCTGAACTAAGACTTTGCCATTAGAAGGGCTTATTTTCAGAAATGAGGAAACTGTAAATAATCTGTAATATCATCATTATAAAAAATGTTTTTCTATTGCTCATTGTTAAGCAATAAATAGTAACATTCAGGCAACACATTACACAAGCAAAATGTTTGTTTCTAAACAAAATGTTCTTAATATGTATAACAAGAGGGCCATGATGGCCCTGAGGTCGCTCACCTGTATATAGGCCCACCCAACCCTCACCCCAACGTTGCAGGGCCAATTTAACCCAAGGGCTTTTATTTGCACAAACTTGGTAGACACCCATCAGAAGATGTTTCATGCTAAACATCTAAGCTCTAGCTCATTGGGCTTTTTAAAAGAAGTTTTTTTAAGTTTTTACTATACACATATAGCTAAAAACAATGACACCCCTGGGGCGGGGCCAGTTTTGACCCCAGGGCTTTTATTTGAACAAACTTTGTAGACACTTACTAGAAGATGTTTCATGCTTAATATCTAAACTCTAGCTATTTGGGTTTTTTCAAAGAAGATTTTAAGTTTTTGCTATACACATATAAAGAAAATCAATGACCCCGGGGCGGGGCCAATTTTGACCCCAGGTCTTTTATTTGAACAAACTTTGTAGACACTCACTAAAAGATGTTTCATGCTTAATATCTTAACTCTAGGTATTTTGGTTTTTTCAAAGATTTTTTAAGTTTTTGCTATACACATATAAGGAAAATCAATAACCCCGGGGCGGTGCCAATTTTGACCCCAGGGCTTTTATTTGAACAATCTTGGTAGACACCTATTTGAAAATGTTTGATGCTAAATATCTTAGCCATAGCTCTTTGAGTTCTTTAAAAGAAGATTTTTCAAGTTTTTACTATATGTATATAGGGAAAATCAATGACCCCCCCCCGGGCGGGGCCCATTTTGACCCCAGGGCTTTTATTTGAACAAACTTGGTAGACACTTATTAGAACATGTTTCATGCTAAATATCTTAGCTCTAACTCTTTTGGTTCTTTAAAAGAAGATTTTTTAAGTTTTTACTATATATGCATATAGGGAAAAATCAATGACCCCCTAGGGCGGGGCCAATTTTGACCCCAGGGCTTTTATTTGAACAAACTTGGTAGACACCTATTAGAAAATGTTTGATGCTCAATATCTTAGCCATAGCTCTTTGAGTTCTTTAAAAGAATATTTTTTAAGTTTTTACTATATGCATATAAGGAAAATCAATGACCCCCCGGGGCGGGGCCAATTTTGACCCCAGGGCTTTTTTTTAACAAACTTGGTAGACACCCATTAGAACATGTTTCATGCTAAATATCTTAGCTCTTGTTCTTTGGGTTCTTTAAAAGAAGATTTTTAAGTTTTTACTATATGCATATAGGGAAAATCAATGACCCCCGGGGCGGGGCCAATTTTGACCCCAGGGATTTTATTTGAACAAACTTGGTAGACACTCACTAGAAGATGTTTCATGCCAAATATCTAAGCTCTATCTCTTATGATTTTTAAAAGAAGATATTTAAAGTTCTTTCTTTCGGTTGCCATGGCAACCAGAGTTCTGCATGGAATTTAATTCTTTGAACAATTTTTAAAGGTGACCACCAAAGGAACATTCCTGTGAAGTTTGGATGAAATTGGCTTAGTGGTTTATGAGGAGATGTCATTTAAAGTAAAAGTTTACGGACGGACGACGGACGGACGGACGGACGCCGGACGAAAAGCGATCACAAAAGAAAAATGTTACCCTACCCCACCCACTTTTAACACTAAATTTACCATTTCCCTATCTAAAATGCCTTATTCAAAATATCCCTTAAATCTATCAAAATGAGGGTCTGGTATCAAAGCTTGTCTAAATTTTTTCAAAGGTATATTAGTTGATCCTGCGAAATATAAAATACTTTTACCGTGTAGTTTTTACTTTATCGAAATTTGAAAATATCTGGTATCATATTTGCTATAAATTTTGGCATTATTTAGCACAATAAATACCTAAAATAATTATATAATTTTAATCAAACATTTTTTCTTCCATACAGACAGATACATAAATAATGTTAAAAAAAAATAAAGAAAAAAAAGTTGTCCCTTCCGGGGTTTGAACCCACGCCCCTCACTTTCAATGTAGTTTACAAGCGATTCTAGCCTTTTTGAATACTCTTCAAAGTGGAGGTAATGCATTACCCATGGTCTACCTTAAATTTTAAACAAAATGTTATTCCAAATCTAATTAAGCAAGACTCAAATCATTACCCCGCTGTTTGAACGTCTTCGCTGTATGAGAAAGCACATTTCAATATAACCTCCAATGTATACATACTGACGTACTGGAACACTTCAAATCTTTCACTGGTTTTTGCTTTAGCTGCAAGTTTTTTCTGCGAGAGAAGAAATATTAACAATATCTAAACATAGTACTAGAAATATTAAATAGAATTAATTATTTCAGATATTTTTGCATAATTAAATAATATACAGTGCTTAAACTAAATAAAATTCTTTGGCAATTTCACCGTTATGAAAATGAGGCACATTAGCTCGGACATCTAGAAGTTATAAATTCTAACGAGACATTAATGTGTGACTGTTCTCTAAACATAGAAAGGAAAAACTTTGCTTTAATAAAATATAAAATCCTAAGACCAGATGCTAAAGTCAAATATTGAGTAGGGGCAAAGTTGATTGTGTACACTTTGATTTCTATTTTTATGAGTACTAGGAAAACTTACAACAAACACATCTGCAGACTGGTTATTAACATTTATGTACGGCTTCAGAATCTCAAAGTGAAAGGCGGGAGTCAGTAGACGTCTGTTTCGCGCCCATTTTTCACCGTTAGCTACAAGCAAACCTTCTCCTAGCCACGGTAATAAATGTTTGTAACCTCCATCTAATCCCCTCGACTTGGGTTCTGTTCAAACGAAAAATTACATATCATAAAGGAAAATGTATTTTCATGATAAACTGTTGGTCTATATGCCAATCAAATATTTCAAAGCAAAATAAATAAAATACAAATACGCTTTTCACGTTTCTTGATCTATTAGCACTGTATGTTTATGTCAGCACATCAGAAACCACTGACAATATCCGGTCTAAACAGACTTGTTTAACTATATTCATCAGACAAATTAAGCTGGAAACAATGTAGGTTCCAAAACATTTTACATGACCATCATTTAATATCACGGAAAAATGGCTCGTTACCGATTTAAATGATAATATTAAGTTAAAGAACAATACATTTAACCCCTTGTTTTTTTTTCTTTTCTGTTTATCACTGAAATATGCATCTTCTATCTATTCAAACAAACATAAATTTTATAAAAAAATACTGACCATTGCCTTTTAACAGTTTTGCAGTAACACGTGGACATGTTGGAAACAAAACAGGTTTTCCCAGCAGTCCCCAGAGTACAACATAGCCTTGTTCACTTCCATATTTATTACCCATTTCCATCAAATACTTTGTTAGCTCGTGCAAATCTGTCGGAAACTACGAAAAACAATAATAAGAAAATATTGAGCGACAACAAACTAGATTTTCGTGATTCTATTTATGATCTCACTATATATAAATATTCTTCTTTTTCTTCTTCATATCATTTTTTCTTCTTCCTCGTACTCTTTTCATTATCATCATAATTATCAATATCATAATACATGTAATGATGACAATTGTATTTGTTATTCATTATCATAATTATCATCATTATTTTTACTATTATTATAAAGTATTATTTTTTTCATAATTATTATTCTATATATTACCAGTGACTAATAGCTTTGTTTTATGGCATAGTGTTTGTAAATAAGAATGTTCAAAATTATAATAACAAATTGAATAAGAAAATTATTTGTTATTATGTACAAAACAATGTGTGTATTGAAATTCTTTTCTAATATAATCTAAATAAAATTCCTCATTAGGTGAATAGTCAATACAGAAATTTCTACGACGACGATTCAATAAATTACCAGCCAAACCTAGTCGGGTTGAGGCTACCTCTTCTTTTTCAATATAATTTTCCTCCAGGTCTATGCACTTGGACCAAACTTAATAAATTATAAAATTAATTATTACCAAAATCAAGTTAAAATCATGTCACATATGTGTCAATTTTTGTATAATAATATCGGAGTTAACCAATATGTTAGTGAAAAGTATAACGTTTTGTCATTTTCAAAAAATAACTCGACAAAATATGAAAGAGTTAAAAAAATTGCTTTCAAAATGTGTGTCACGGGTTCCCGTTTATAAAAAGGATTAAAATACCAATATTTGACGCGAGAGGCTACGTTATCTTGAAGCCGGACTGATTCACAATATTTACATTCTAAACATAATAAATTCATATCATTACATGCATTGTTAACTGTTATGCATTAAAAAAGAAACATGTGAATAAAATAATTCTACTGTCCATCTAAAATTATGCTCCAAATATTTTTTCATTCCAAAAATGACCATTTAACCTTATGCATCTAGGTATTTCAGTGATATCGCTTAACAGAAGATATACCATTATTCTTACCTATTTTCTTTTTACCTTCAAAGTACAAGTGTCAAATTATTTGACAATTGAATAGAACGAATACAAAGTACTTAAGAGCATTCACAACGGAACTACTAGAATATTGCTTTCCATTTGTATGGTTTACATGGATTGTTTTTACAACTGTGCAATATTTAACAAATAAAACATGGCCTTTCGGGCAATATGCAAGTTTACGGATTGGTTGGTCAGACTGAGGATGGTATATGACCAGAAACGCAACATGTAATAAATTTATGTGAAACATAACGATAAATTCAGTAAAAGAATCATTTCACAGTAAAATGAAATATTTTACCTCATTTGCATACACCCTTCTATATTTAATATGACATCATCCAATCGATATAAGAATTATAGACTGGGTAGCCGGTTTGTATGCGATTTATGGACCGGATGACGTCATATTAAATAACAAGAATGGCGTATGCAAATTAGGTATAATATAGAATATATAATACATAATTTAAGTAATAGAAACTACACAAACTGTCCATTGTGTGAAAATATATACAAATCTATACGGAACTCAACTAAACGCACATAAAAGACAGTTTTTAGCCATTCTCCATTTCTCAATTTAAACTCTTTTTTAGAAATAGTTTTAACCTATAAATTAATCTAGAATAATTTATTGTCAATAACTTCAGAAAAAAAAACAACAATATTTTACTTCCATACAAAATGGTTATGATTTTTAGGCACATAGACTATGAAAGCATATAATTAAAGGCGTATTCTGTAGTGACATAAATATGTATAGGCAGAATGAAAACAGTATAGTAGAATTCATTTAAACTTTGTATGCTTAAGAATATGACAACAAAGTCGTTTTAGAATACAACCACCGAACTCGTTTTCGGGTTTCTATCCTTGAATTTTAAAATGTTGCTTACTTCAAAACAATGAGGGGGGCGTCCGTGGCCGAGTGGTTAAGGTCGTTGACTGATTAACCACTTGCCCCTCACCGCTGTGGGTTCGAATCCCGACAGGGACTTTGGATTCTTTCATGTGAGGAAGCTATCCAGCTAGCTTACGGAACGTCGGTGGTTTTACTCAGGTGCCCGTTCTTCCTCCACCAGTAAAGCTGGAACGTCGCGATATGACCTATACTGTGTCGATGTGACGTTAACCCAAAAAACAAACAAACCAACAAAACAATGAGAGGAAAATATTTCTTTATAATTGTGTACCATCAAAATTTTAATATCGTAGTTATTAAAAAAATTATTGTGTTTTTTTTTCGTGATAACGTGATAGCGACAAATGGTTCTTATACTTTAAATCATCCTCCTTATAGTTTCTTTCACTCGTAAAATAGCTAGCTATACTAACAAAATAGTGAACAACAGAATCCCTACAAAAGTCCAACACGGCAAAATTGACAAAGTTGCAGACTCGGTTCATATGAACGGTTTATAGTACGTCAAATCAGGAGAGAGCAAGCATTTAAGATCAACTATTTACAAAATTTTCTTAAACCCGAATTTGCTGTACCTAAATAGTGATTATAGTGCATTTAATGAAAACATATAAACAATTTCGTCAGATAAAATATGTGACATATCATAACCCCTAAAATTTTATCTGTAAATATCACGAATAAGGTCATTTTAAATAAAACAGTTGGTAATATAACGGATTGATTTTATATTTTTTACGGTACATCGTCTTGACACTTTAACAATATATTTGTTAAATTTTTCCCGTTTTGACATAATAAAAAATAAAAAACTTACATAGAAGAAACTGCCAAACAACCAGTGATGTTTTTCTGGACCCTTAGCTCCATTAAATATTTTCTTGTTTTGTCGATAATTGATGAATATCGAAACAGCATGATAAAAGATGTATGTTCCTATAATTAACAAAACTGTTTGTAAGATCACATAAAATGTTGGAAACATGTTTAATTTCTGTCAGAATATGGGTAAACAATACACGACTCGTCCGTTAGCGGTGTCGACACAGATTATACGCATTTGACCTACTGCTGCGACTTTAGATAATGTAGAGCAATATAATGTAGAGCAATATCGTTTAAACCACCCACTTTCATTTCGGTGTGCACATTAAACACAAATTAATGATCAACATTATTTTTTGTCCAATCACATTGTAGTATTTTTCAAATTTGTGCTAAGTCTAACTTTGGTTAATGTGTACTAACTAAATAAAATTTACCTAATCTGTCGTCTAACCAGTCTAACAAATTGCATTATATTAGGGAGGAGTTAGCTCTGAGTTGTAAAATATCTTGGTTAGCAAAACATTACCAACGTAAAAAAATAGAAGAGGCCAGGTGTTTCTAAATGTGAGGATACAACCAATTAATTTATTACATAGATAATACATGTGGGGCACGCAGAGACTAATGATTACATGGTAACTTTTTTTATATCCTTTGAACTCTAAGAAAATGACTGTTATAAATTGCTGACTGAATTAAACTTTATATTTTCTATAAAAAGTAACCAAAACATTATTTTCTTTCATTTGATAGGAATGAACTGCATTAACAATCATTGATATCAAGAATACAATGATTACATTGTTTGGCTGGAAAACTCATTGAAAATGGACCCCTTCACACAGAAAAAAATAAACTGTTTTTCAGATGAGCAAATCAATAGG